ATGCCATATACAAGCACCGTAGTGAGAAAGCAGGAATAGCCTCATAATGGCCCGCTTAATGCTCTTCTTCATGTCCGACTCAAACACTAGCTGATTTGAGTTCTCAATGATATCTTTCAACTTCGTGAAGAACTAATACCACGATTGATAAGTGTAGTTTCTATACTTATTCGAGGCCGTCAGTGATGATATTTGATTGTCCTTTCGATAAAATTCTACCTAATTTATTTTATATTATATTTTTGTAGGTAAAACTTTATGTTTGATGAAGAATTAGAGAAAAGAAGTGAAAAATNATGCAAAATTTGGCGAATAAATGGAAAGATCCAAAGCGTGAGGGTTAAAGTGCAAATACACAAAAGTTGTGTCGAAGCTCACGATGAAGATTCAAGAATTCTAGGGGTTAAATGGATGCAATTAGAAGTCAAAAGGTATGAAAATATTAATTTCACAAATCAATTTTCAATCGCAGAAGGATGTTCCAAATTTTCAGCCAGAGATTGAGACCCATTTTTTGCCTAGTAAACATTCTAATTGGAAAAGAGCCATCAAAGTTATACATCTTTGAGTTATCTTTTCAAAGCATTTTGAATCACCATAATTGGATATCAGGAGAGAAAATAATGACAAAAACACTGAAAAAAGGCGCAGAGTTTGGAATAGAAACCTAGTGGCCAAGAGCTACCCTGGTACTTGAAGTGGTGCCTAGGTGCTGCATTCATAGCGCTTAGGCACTGCTCCGTACAACTTAGGTTTTTGATATTTGAACCGTGAGAAGCCTAGAAAAAGACTCCAAATTAGCCAAGAGTGCGTATGGAGGTATAAATAGACCTGAAGAGGCACTATTAAAGGGTTCCACACATTGAGAAAGGGGGATTACAATGAAAGATCGAAGAATCCAATTCAAAGAAGTAAATCATCATGGAATTCGAGTTTAAAGCATTGATTGGAAGCGGAAGAAGATCTTGGTGCAAAATTTAATTCATTTCTACATCTTTATTAAAATCTGGTGATGCATTCATTACTTTTACTCTTTATTTTTATATTATGAGTGACTAAACTTCAGATTAGGGAAAACAATGTAGTAGACCTGTGATCCTTTATTTTTCTATTCAAGATTTATGTGATTTATTTATTTATGTGTTGATTTTATTATGAGTTTAATGCATTAAATTACCTGATCAATAATTTGATGATTATGTGAATCTCTTACAAATCGAGAGGTGAGTTTGAAATTTAAACCATAAATTCAAGATTTATGTGATTTATTTTCATACGTGTTGGTTTTACTATGAGTTTAATATATTAAATTACCTAATTAATAAATTGATGTTTATGTGAGTCTCTTACGAATCGAGAGGTGAGTTTGAGACTTAGACCATATAATAAAATCCAGTAAGTTAGTATAACGTGTAGAGATACCTATACTAATTATTGCGATCATAATATAAATTTTTAAAACTAATGTTTCATTTGACTATGTGTAATTCGCATAGAGATATGTAATTAAATTAGTTAAATGGGCTCGATAAGAACTCGATATGGGTAAATTGAATACAATAGCGAATTCGACCGAACACTACATTATGTTAAAATTTTGAATTAAGAATTAATGTGATCAATAGATGAAATTGTTTTGCCCTAATATTCATCATGTATTTGAATCTTTAATGAATCGTTGTTTGCAAGATTTTGATATTTTCAATTAATTAGAAGTAATTAGGAAAATATAATCTCACCTATCAAAATTCTTTGTTTGCTTTTATCGAATAGGAGTTAGAAAATTCTAACTAAGGTCTAAAGTATAGTCCTCGTGGGAATGAAAATACAGACTCAATGGTCCACTATATTACTTGTTACGATATCGTACACCTGCGATAGAAAAAACGCAACAACGATGCATTTGTTTCCCCACCGACAACCCCATGTGATATATTTGTATGTTGGCATCTTACGTTGCAGCTACTAGTATTGTTCCCTTATACTTGCCCTTCAAATGACTCACATCAACACAAATTACAGGCCTCATGTACTCTTGAAAACCACGTATACTCGGCCTGAATGCTAAGAAGAAGTACAAGAACCTTTTGTTGATATCGAGATCAATGTGTGCGACGGTACCTAGATTTCTATCAAGGGAAATGCTATGTGTATACAATGTTTCACACCTCCCTCACATAGAGGGAGGCCCACACACAATAAAATATTTGTGGGCCCCCTCCATGTGAGGGAGGTGTGAAACAATGTTTACACCACAAGGTGTACACATAGACTAATTCTTCTATCAATTAACATGTGACAGCATGACAGCAAATTCTAAAAACTTTCTTTAGGTGAACCACGAAGAATTTGAAGGCCATTCTCCTTACCCCATCTACTCTTTATTCTAGCTAATCCGTACACCAAACTCACGTTCCATATCACCGATAATACCGACAGGAACGTATGGTTGGTTTGCATCATTCAATTGTTGCATTATGTGATGCCCAATTAGTGCTCTCGTTGCATGAATTTGTACATTTCGCCGAACGTCTAAAGAATATGTGTGCTCAAGTATGTACTTTCGAATCTTAAATATGTCTGAAGTTTTTATCTTAGAAGATCGCAGTAGCCAATGGCACACGGTATCTACGCAACACACAGTAAGAGATCTAGGATTCGACTTTTTAACCTTGAAATGAAACTTCTCTGTCAAAGCCTTCAGTCGAAGCCTTCTGTGTAGCTGTTTCTTGCTAAAGAAATTCTCCTCAATGTCCTCTTCATCGATCGACTAAATTTCATTTCCAATATACGAATTCCCTTCACCTAAACTTACATTCGTATTATGAATCATTTGTGACTCTTGTAGTTCGTACACACCCACTTCGTCACGTCCACACATTGTATCTTCTATTGGTGAGAAATGATCAACTCCAGCATGCATTTCGTGCTCTTCAACATCATATTGATCTGTAATTACACATAAGGCTGCTTGTGTGTGAACCAAAATATACCATTGCAAATCCTCATCGTCGGCTACATCAGTAGGGGGTATATTCATGTTCGGAACTTTAAATTTCAATTGAATTCGAAACTTCATTTTGTCAATATTCAATTTCTCAAATAATGTGTGTACAAGCTCTTCATATCTAATAGCACGTTGAATAACAATTGATGTTTCTCGGTCTCCTAACCACTTCCACTTGTCGTCCAAGTTGACGAATGTACCGCCGTACGAGACAATGAATCTCATAACATCTCCTATGCCTACATGCCATAAACGAAAATAATATCAGTTAACAACAAATACCAAAACTGAAGATGCTAGCCGCATGCAATATGTGAAATGATGTACACAAAAAGTTCCCTAATTTCGTTTAGTGTTTAATGTTATTTTTGACATTTGAAAATATCGAGAATTACATTTAAACTATCATTCTCGACGTTTATAAAATGTCGAGAATGAACTGACGCGCTTCACTTCAACATATGCATTTATCATCTTCTTCAACTTCAACCACCATTTTTGAAAATAATTTATTCCACCATTAATGACATTCTCAATACAAAAGTACCTGGAATTATTATCTACCCAAATTATTAAAGAATGTTGTTACAACAAATATCTATTACTTGTTTGGATAATTCAATTCAATGAAATCAAATATATAACAAATACTAAATACAACTTATCAATAAAAATAAAATTTCAAAGAAAAATACCTTCTACCAAAAATAATGAGAGGTGAATCAACTTCAAATTTAGACGAGATTTAATTTGTTGACTTGAAATCAAATTATTTCTTCAAAGGTATAATCATATACTTCTTTATAGGTGTTAATAGAATGTCTACTTTAACTTCTTCAAATTTTCTACAATAATTGGTTAATATTTAATTAAAAATGTAAGAAAATGAACTCACCTTGATAATAGCTACAATTATGGTGGCTTCTCATGGAAGTCACGTGCTCTTCTCGAAATATGTGTCAAATTGAAGAAAAAAATAGTATTGAGTAATATTTTCATTAAGGGTAAAATAGACAATTTGATATAAATTTGACCATTTTCACAAGAATTATAAGAAAATGACATTTTTCAATTCATAACCAAAAAATTGGACATTTTTTAAAATATCACTTTCTTCAATAATTTTCTTGTTCCTTCAGTCTCCATCTCCTCCGTTATTTCCTGGAACTCGACCACAAAACCTTTTATGGATCATTAATTTCCACACGGCATCTCCTGACTTGATTAGTCGCAGCAGCCAAATTTGACTAGTTGCAGTAGAAAAGTATATGATTTACTTCTTCACATAAACTAAAGAAAAATAGAATGTCAACAATAAAATTTTGTAACAGAAAAATGAAAACTCTATTTTTTTTCTTCATAAATCCGTGGACATTTTGGTCATTTTGCAGTGAGGTAATAATAGTTTAATTATACCACGGGCTGTTAATGGACATTTTGCTAATTTGAAGTGAGGTACCTTATAGTTTAATTTTATTCAATTTCATAAATCAAATTATTTTTCTCACATTTCTTAATAAAAGCACAAAAAATATCATGAATTTAATCCAACTTTACTCAAATCAAATCTCGACCGAAGCAAAAATTAGTTTAAAATTCAAGAAAACTGTTGAAATATTTTATTGATCAACCAGTATACTATAATAAATTTTTTTTTTTTAAATATACATTGTTTCTTAGATTTATAAGTTTATTTGAATCCGTTTTCCATTTATACTAAATTTAATTAATCTAAGCAAGAGTCGAATAGATTTTGGATTTGCCAGAAAGCTTGAAATATTGTAGTCGAGTCCCGATGCAATTTTACAAGGGCTTCGAATTTGCAAAATTAAGCGCATTAATTTTTGTCATTGGATTAAACTTCCACGTCTGGTCTTTTGCGGGGGATATTTTTGTCAATCCAACTATATTACCTTTAAAAAAAAAAAAAACAAGAAGCTCCCCAAATGTAATTTTCCGACTTATCCTCTCTCCCTTAACACTTTCGGCAGCCATGATCTTGAAAAACACTTGTTGTTGCATGTTCTTTGTGTGGTTTTTCCTATGTTTCTCCATAAACTATAATCTATCAGAAGGAGCTGACAGCATCACAGCGAACCTATCTCTCTCTGGAAGCCGGACTATTGTCTCTCCTGGTTACACATTTGAACTGGGATTCTTCAATTTAGGTTCTCCTCCCAGGTATTATATTGGAATATGGTACAAAAGTGTTAGTCAAAGGACCATAGTTTGGGTAGCTAATAGAGAGACACCCATTTCGAATAGGAGTTCTGCAGAACTGAAAATTTCAGAAGGTAATTTGGTGCTTCTGGATTCCCAGGTTTCGATTTGGTCCACCGGTGTAAGCTCGACAACCTCAAAATCTGTGGTGGCAACTCTAGGTGATGATGGGAATTTAGTTTTGAGAGATGGGTCAAAACCTACGTCAACTGAAAGATTTTGGCAAAGTTTTGATAACCCAACAGATACTTTTTTACCTGGTGGAAAACTTGCCTATGACAAGCGTACAAAAACAAAGCAGATCCTCATTTCTTGGAAAAATTATGAGGATCCTTCACCTGGGCCTTTCTCTATTGAGCTGAATCCCAATGGGCGTCAGTATGTCATAACACGGAGTAAGACTAGAGAGTACTGGACTAGTGGAGCTTGGAATGGGCATATTTTCAGTTTACTCCCTGAAATGAGGCTGAATTATATCTACAATTTTAGTTATGTAGATAATGTTAATGAGACTTATTTCACTTATTCTCTTTATAATCCTGCGATTATATCGAGATGTGTGATGGATGTTTCCGGGCAAATTAAGCAGACATCATGGTCTGAGAGTATGAATGAGTGGAATTTGTTTTGGTCTCAACCTAGGCAGCAATGTGACGTGTATGCTTATTGTGGGGAATTTGGTATCTGCAATCAGAGTTCATTGCCTCACTGTTCTTGTTTGCCGGGATTTAAGCCGAAGTCGGAGTATCATTGGAACTTGACCGATTTTTCAGATGGTTGCGTAAGAGAGATCGATTTGCAGTGTAGGAATGATAATACTTCTACGGGAATAAAACACATTTTTTTGGCGAATTCCCAAGTTACGTTACCTGAAGAATCTACATCAGTGAATGCAGGGAGTGCTGGAGAATGTGAATCTATCTGCATAAAAATTTGCTCTTGTACAGCTTACTCTTACAATGGCAATGAATGCTTGGTTTGGAATGTTGAATTATTAGACTTGCAACAACTCTCGGAAGATGATGGCAGGGGAAGTACAATCTACATTCGACTTGATGCCTCTGCCCCTCAGTTTTTGAGCACCAAAAAAAATAAAGGGGTTCCAATAGGCGCTATTGTCGGTTCTGTTGCTGTTGTTACGGTGCTCTTAGCCATTGTTGGGGTCGTGATCTGCAGAAGTCGAAGGCATATACTTGGAACTGCAAAAGCAGTTGAGAGATCGTCTGTAGCATACTTGGAGTTTGGGAGCGATAACAAGAATGATACCGGTGTTCCTTTCTGCAGTTGGAAAAGTATATTAGCAGCTACAGAAAACTTTTCAGACGTACACAAAATAGGGCGAGGGGGATTTGGACCTGTTTACAAGGTTTTACTATGATTTTCTCCAAAATTGTTTCCTATATATAATCAAGTTTGACTGTTTGTGCCGTTATGTTTAAATTCTTGTTCTCAAACTCCTGCAGGGATCGTTACCTGGCGGGCAAGAAATTGCAGTGAAAAGGTTGTCAAGCTTTTCAGCACAGGGCTCTAATGAATTCCAAAATGAAGTTGTATTGATTGCTAAGCTTCAACACCGTAACCTCGTTCGACTTCTGGGCTACTGCATTGAGGGGAATGAGAAGATCTTACTCTACGAATATATGCCCAACAAAAGTTTGGATGTCTTTATATTTGGTTAGTTCTGTGAAAATTATATGTTTTGTTATGCAATTGTCATTTCAATCAGTAATTTATTTATTTTTTTCACAAAAAATTCTAGATAAAAAATTATGCGTTTTACTGAACTGGAGGAAACGGTTTGAAATCATCTTGGGGATAGCAAGAGGCATTCTTTATCTTCATCAAGATTCAAGGTTAAGGATCATTCATAGGGATTTGAAAACAGGCAATATTTTGTTAGATGCAGAGATGAGCCCCAGAATTTCAGACTTCGGTTTGGCAAGAATTGTCGAGGACAAAGAAACACAAGCAAATACCAACAGAGTCATGGGAACTTAGTAAGTATCAATCTAAAACAATATCCTTTCATGACCACCGAAATTTTTTAATATCTTGTCATGACTTTTATGATCTTTTACATACAAGTACAAACTCGAAATATTGGTCTAGTTCAAGAAATTCAGTTCATAGAATAAGGACTAAAGAAACAATTTAAGAATTGGGTGACATAAAATTGTTTACGTGGTTCAGCCAATATCTACGACCCTAGAGCTCAGTTTCTTGAGCTAACTACACTATGAACCAATGAGGATACATTCTGAAGATTAAAAGACAAATACACCTCCTCTTTGAAATACAACAAAGAAGAGGGAAAAAAAAAGGGAATTTTGAAGTAACATTCTACCTCTGCCTTTTGTTTTCCATCTCTCTCTCCTTCAAGATTTGTTGTATGATTGGTGGCAATGGGCCGACTTGGCCTATTCACCCATGGATCCTGCATGGCCCGTGGGAGGGTCCAGGCTGGTTCTCCCACTGTAGCAGCCTAGCAGGTCGTCTTTGGCACATTCCAATTTTCAAAGGTGGCCCTACATGGCCTGCAGGCATGCTCTGGCTCTAATTGATTTGTTTCCATTCTCATACTTGAAACAATCAATTCGTTCATATAATTGATTTAACCGACTCTAATTGAACTGTTGTATGGCTGATTTTGTAACCAATTGAGAGCATTCTCTCATTTCACAAGTGTGCGGATCGTAACAAATAATAAAGTAGATATTCAAATTCGAACATAGTCCACGTGAGACTAATTATTTACTACCAACTTTTATCTTAAATCTAGCTTTAATTTAAAATAATGTGAACCAATTAATAATTCGAGAATTTATGTTCCAACTAAATCTTAACTAATTTTATCGATGTTTGAAAAACTTTTGAAATTTATGGGATTAAGTATTCAGAAATTTTGATTTCATTAAGGTTATTTACACATTCATCTAATCAAACATCATTCAATCCCTTTTCATATGTGTTAACAATCGAATTGACCAATTTTAGCTAACGATCTCTTGAATAAAACTAAATCTAATCATATGCTCGAATGCACTATTTCCTATTTAAATACACGCACTCCTATACAAAGTAATTTGTAGGAATTCAATCAAATTTGCATAAGCTACCAAAAGTATATTCAATCAAGATTACATAAGCTACAAAAGTATATCCGATCTCTTATTGGAACCTATATCCCTTATTGTCTCTAAACTAAAGATCAAGCAACTGAATGTCACTAAACATATAATCAATTACTACATAATCAAATTTGTATGAAATCTTTTGAATTAAATAAACATTAAACCTAAATTACATATTTCACCCCAACAACAAATGACTTAGCCACTCATAATTGCAGAACTAAACAATGATGATTAAAAACATCAATTGGTCCAATACAATGAATTAAGAAAAGAATTCAAGCTATTGTTGATCTTCACCACACAAATCTCAACAATGAATCTTCAACCTCTAGCTTGATAATTGTAGTTCTCCCGGTCAATTGATGAATATAAGCCTTCAAATCCCAATTTAGAGTCGCAAATCTCACGAGTCTCTAATATCTCCCTATTTTTGGAATGAATGAATCATACTTATAGACCTCAAAATAGGTAAAAAATTGAGCCCCAATTGATAAATTATTAATAGTTGAATAGGATTAGAAAATCTAGATTGTTGGCTCGCAACCAACGGTGTGATCACACTCTTGTAATTGCTGTGATCGCATGGTGTTGAATGTTTATTTGCTTCTGAATAAATTTCAACCTGGGAGAT